AAAATAAATAAATTAAAGAGCTCATACCAATTGAAGACCTTAAGCTCTGCGAAAATGGCATTCGTTGGTCGCATGAACAGTCACGGCAACTTGGTGGACAGTGAACTGTTCCACAAGGCGCGCTCGACAGTGAACACGAGTTCCATGCAGGCCCAGGAGAACGAACTCGAAAGGGTAACGAGGCGCACAAAGGGCTCACGCACCTACATCAAGCCCTATGACGCTGTCTCTAGTCCGTGCCCGAGCACGGTGCGCTATGTGGGCCGCTCCGCTTCGTCCAGCGAGCTCAACTCGTCGGACGGCACGGAGGTGTCCACACTGCGCTACTGCTCACCCCGATCGCTAGAAACGGAGTCGGATACACTGACGCCCGAGCACGGCTCCGACAATAGCTCCCTGTCCGGATGCAGCGGGCGAGCTGACCAAATGGTGGGCCGTCAGCAGTCGCGGCAAATGGAATACGATGCAGAGAACCACCAGCAGCAGCAGGAGAGAGGCTCCACAACATCCATGTGCAGCTGGGAGGAGGAGGAGGAGGTGGAGGATGAAGAGGAGCAGGACGAGGATGGTACAATTTCGACATATACGTCCGTGGATCAGCTCACCTTCAGCTGTTCGGTGCCCCTGCTCGATCTGGGCTCGGATACTGCCTCGCTGCAGTACGACCCGCAAACACATCTGAACCAATTGAAGATGGTGCGACGCTCCGACGAGGCCTACAATAATTGGCTATCTGGCAAACGGCGGCTGAGCCTGTATAAGCAGCAGGCGCTGCAGGAAGAGCGCAAGCTGAAAAAACAGCAGGACGAGCTGCGTCAACAGCTGAACGCACAACGAGTCCAGGAGTGGTGCCAGCGCAAGGCGCTCCAAAATACGAGCAACAACAGCAACAACAACAACAAGCGCAAATCGAATCCTGTAAAAATACCAGCCCTGAGTGCGGAGGTGGCGCAACGACGCCTCCAAAACTGGGAGCTGCAGAAAATCCAGCAGGCGGAACAGCAGCGTCAGCGGCAGCAACGCGAGGCTCTGCGGAAGCAACGGGAACAACAACAACGCAAGCAACTCGCTGCCACAGCGTGGCAGCAATGGGTCAAGGGCGCGGCCCAACGCCCCAAGCCGGTGCCACTCAACCAAGGCATGAATACGCTGCGCGGCACCATCTCCAACATCTATGTCAATCCAAACCCCTGGGTGCACCTTAACGAAAGCAAACTAGCATCCAAATAATCAGTACGCAATTGTTGAAACATATCTGAGAAATGCGCTGTGCACAAATATGGGAACAAATTTTGTAAAAGTAGCCTAAAACATTTTCTATAGATAAAAATCCATATTTGATATATATTGTGTATTGATTTTTGATTCTAACTGGTATGAGATAATGTCTTGTTCGCAGATAGCTCACATAATTTATAGCCAACGGGTTTGCGGGAAATCCAGTGCTAAATTACGATATGATGAGACGCAGCATCGACTACAGCTCGCAGTTAATCGGACAGGCAATAACAGCAAGCGAACTTTGAATAAATTACATACACTTAGCCACAGTGGAATTTGATGAACTTGTACTATCTCTGAATATATGACAGTCCACACGATATGGTTGTTGCTCCTCACATTGTTTAAGGATCAATGCGTAATGGAGTATAAACTAGAGCAAAACAATAATTTGAACACAAAAATATAGTTTAAAACATCAATGCTATTTTAAAAAAAAAATTTCAATTGTGTCAAAAAAAATATTGTAAGCAAAAAATATTTTTTTTTTTTTTTTACTAAACCATTTTTTTTTTGATTTCAATAGTAAATATATAATAAATACGTAAAGAACTTTTTATCATAATTTATTTTAGAAGTTGTGGATTCATTAAAAAAAAAAACCATTATACCCTAATTTCCCATTGATTTCACTAATTTTATTAATATATTGATAGTGTAATTAATTGTA